TGACGCTCTAGTGGAATATTCCTACGACGCTGACCTAACCGGTTTGGTCTACGACTTCACCAACCACATCAGCGGCCTTTCGATTACCGTCAGTGGCTACAACGACAAGTTGCACGTATTGCTAGAGAAGGTCTTACTGCAAGTACGGGATCTTGAAGTATCAGAAGATCGTTTCAGGATTATTCACGACCGTATGCTTCGTTCCCTACGCAACTGGGAGTACGGGCAGCCTTTCCATCAGGTTGGGACATACTCTCGGCAGTTCAAGAGTGAGAAGAGCGTAATGAACGACGAACTTCTTCCAGAGCTTGAGAACGTGACGGCTCAGGACGTACAGCAGTTCTTCCCGCAAATCCTGGCGCAATGTCAAATCGAGGTTTTGGCACATGGCAACCTTTACAAGGAGGAAGCTCTGAAGATTACTGATCTAGTAGAACGTACTATCAAGCCAAGGAGACTGCCATCGAACCAGTTACCTACACGCCGGGGACTCATCTGGCCATCCGGCAGTAACTTCATCTACGAGAAACAACTAAAAGATCCTCAAAACGTCAATCACTGCATCGAATATAGCTTATATGCCGGTCACCGTTACGACAGCGTCACACGCGCCAAGCTCCTGCTTCTTGGGCAGATGACGGACGAGCCGTGTTTCAATCAACTTCGTACCATTGAGCAGCTTGGCTACGTCGTATTCTCTGGCCCTAGCTTCCACGACATTTGGTCAGGATATCGCATTCTCATCCAGAGTGAGAAAGATTGTCGGTACCTTGAAGGTCGCATCGAGAACTTCCTCAACACGTTCGAGCAGACACTAAACGACATGAATGAGGAAGACTTTGAGAGTCACAAGCGTGCGATGATTAACAAGAGGCTCGCGAAACTGAAGAATCTATCGTCCGAGGACAACAGGTTCTGGAATCATATTTACAGTGATTCGTATGATTTCCTGCAAGGTATGCTGTCGCCTAGACCCGTGCACTAGTGCATTTCTAACGAGTATACAGCCGATGTTGATGCCGCGACTATCGAGAAGCTTACAAAGAAGGACATGGTAAACTTCTACAGTCACTTCATCTCGACTTCATCCTCTCAACGCTCCAAACTCTCAGTACATCTACAAGCGCAAGCCAAGGCCAAGGAGCCCTCGCTCGAGGAGAAGAAGACTGCCGCCGCCGCTGCGCTCAAAATCATTCTCGCCGAACACAAGATCACAACCAATGACGAAGCTTTCGAGGCTCGCATCATGGACGCATCGTCCAATGCGGCTATCTCGGATGCAGTTGCCAGCCACCTCACTGACGATCTCAAGATCGAGAAGGAAGTCGCTAACAAGATCCTCGACGAAGCAAAGGCTGCATTGGGTGTAGCAGATTCAGGTCTGCCGGCCGCGCCTCAGGCCCTGGATACGAGTGCAGATGTCAAGAGCGTAGTGGATGCTTCACAGCCTGTTCTTATCGAGGATGTGCATGCTTGGAAGGCGAGTATGCAAGTCAGCACCGGTGTTCGACCGGTGCGAAACTTGGAAGACTTCGTCGAGGTTGCTGAGAAGCTGTGAGTGAAAGTATCGCGCTGAGCTTTCTGTTCAGCAATATATCGAAGAAGGACATGGAGATGCATTATGAGGATGTAGAAAAAAAGGAAGGGGTGCAGCTTCGTTCCCATCTTAGCGTAGTTTCCCTCGATCTATAAATCAATCATACGTATTGCACGTGTCTGATCTATGATCTCTGATCAGCCATCGAACCTCGTCCCATTGTCTCATTAGATCAAGTTCCCATCGCAAAGGTCTCCGCTTCGTCACTCTTCACGAAGCCGACAGGCGAACCGAAACACCACGCACGTGGGAACCCTATACCCCATTTGGCCATCAAGCTCCGCAAATCTTCTTCTGTACCTGGAATTACATTGATGAATATGCGATCGGTATCGCAGCGGGGTTCCGAATGCACTGCCCCTTCTTCTCCGCCTATCCTAAAAAACGCCACTTCTCTAGAAGCCGGGGTCTCACGCTCCACATCTTGTAGAGAATGTACGAGTGACTGACGTACGGAGTCACTATACGTGGAACAGCCTACGCAACATATCGATGTACAGGTATGGTCACCCAACTTCTCTTTCTCGATCTTCTTGGTCTCCCTGAGCACTCTCAGCGCCATCTCATTACGTTTTGTGAAAAGAGTACTTGGTCCGAGAAGTGTGGTACAGAGCTTCCATAACCTTTGCGTACTAGATTGAGCAAGACCAAAGCCAGTGGCTTCAGCATCGTAGGCGAACACGTTCTCATCTGTGTGCCAGCGTGGTGTATCGTATTCGTGGGTTGTCATGGTGCAGCGGATGGTCAGCCAGTAATTGTGGATGTTCGCTGCTGACAAGAAAGTCTGTAGCCATGAGAGGAGAGGGAGGAGCCGGTGTATCAAAGTGGCTGGAGAAGACAGTGTAAGAGATGCCCAGGTGTGGAATGACGGTGGGAGGGACGTGGTGCTTGCGTGGAGGAGAGGACCGCAATAGGTCCATGAAGAAGGGCTGAGTACTTTCAGCCGTGATGGGGATGTACTATCAGCTTCGAGATCTTCTAGCGAGGCGTCGTTTGGTATGGTCGTAGGTGGGTATGGAATGAAAGCGTGGGAGCCGTATTGCGGTAGTGGATCGATGGTTGGCGTTGAAGCATTGGTTATCGTCTTGAATGAGGGCTGCACATTTTCAATCGAGCTGGGTTCATCTTCGTAGAATAGTAACATATCGAGCGAGTCTGCTCTCAGTACAATTGAGAGAGTTCTGCAGATGCTTCTGCAGTAGTTTGTAACTGAAAATAATTTGACTTGTGGAACTACGTGTTTGACGCGCTTTGGTCACACAGGGCGTCTGATTAGTGGTTGATGTTTAGGGCGTGGTGGCACAGGGGGCGCGGCATCATTCCTTTGACGGACATCCATGGAGGTATATGCCACCCATTATTCAAAGAGACCTCTGAATGTCGCCAGACCGAATTGCGCGAACAACACTACCAGGTCTACTCGTCAATGCGGCAGTTGGCAAGGTGCTGCTACCTAGGTGATCGGGAGACGTGACCAACGTGGATCGGCCCGTCAGTGTTCCGACGGCTCCAGGGCTTCGTCATACTTGACGAAGGCACAGTGGCAGCTCTCCGCATGGAACCACAACACCGCGCAAGGCGTAAGGAGCCACTCGGGCCGGAAGGTTGAGAAAAGGAGGAGGAATTGCTACAGCCAATATGCTACGACGAACCATTCTGCGGTCGGCCGCGCGCCCACCACAGCTCCTTCGCAGCCCACACACGCGCCGCTATGCGACAGAGCCGCCAGCCTCTCCAGCGTCCTCCCAGTCGCGCATCGAGCGCTTCAATCGCCGCTTACCAAAGTTCCTGCACAAGTACACCAATGCGCTCGGAAATGCGCCGGTCACGCACATAACGTCATTTCTCATCCTCCACGAGCTCACGGCCGTCATCCCTCTGTTCGGTCTCGCTGGCTACTTCCACTACACACACTGGCTGCCTCCGTGGTTCGCAGAAGGGGCTTGGATAGCGTCAGGCGTCGAGCGCTTCGGTCGGTACTTTAAGCGCAAGGGCTGGATACGCAGCGATGAAGCGCTGGAAGCCGAACGTGAGGTCGACGAGATCCAGAAGGATGACAAACAGAGGCAGTGGATGAAGAGCCAGGGTTTGTTGTCGCATTCCGATGACGACGGCATCGGCAGCGAGACTAAGAGGCTGAGGAAGGTGGATCAGGCATGGAACATCAGCGAAGGCGGTGTCAGGCTGGTCGTCGAGTTTGCGACGGCTTACGCGATTGTCAAGATGTTCTTGATTCCGAGAATCGTGTTCAGCGTGTGGGCTACTCCCACCTTTGCGCGATGGACCGTTGCCCCGGTCTTGAAGAAGTTCCGCGCAATGTTTGGGAAGAAGGGCAACGGCGCGCCTGGAGCGGGGACTGGTGCTACCGAAGGGGGTGCTATACCGAAGAGTGGAAGTGGAAAGACTTGATCATGTAAGTGGGCTCTAGTTGCAGACAGGCCCTTGGTAGGTACTTTAGGTCTGCACTGTACATACCATTGTATCACTGAATGCAGATATATGGTAAGCATTTCTCGATTGGCTACTTCTCAAGTCACGCCTTACTATCGATATCGCGGTGAAGTCTGTATCTCCTTCATCTTCTCATTCGCGTCATAGGCGGCCGTTTGTTTCGCTCATTGTCGGCTTTCTCGGCTGTTTCTTTCCCTCATCTCCAGTCCCTATCCAGCCCAATTCAACGGCCAACAGGATGTGCTTCAACGACGACGATTACAGCTACGAGTCTAGAGTTGAGGTCCGCAATGGCCAGCGCTACTACACAGAGGATTACTACCCCGGCTTTGGTATGTCCAGACGCCGCAGATATGGCCTCGGCGGTTCGTACTACCCTTCGCGCTACTACGATCACGCTCCCAGAGGCCGCTATATGAGCAGGGCAGTCACGTATCCAAATCGGTACTCTCAGTACAGCGGCGGATACCCAAGTGGCGTCGTTCCTGGAGGTTATTCCAGGGGCGTAATCCCCGGCGGCCACTCCCAGGCCATGGTTCCTCGAGGGTTTATAGGAGGTGTGCATCCCGGTCATTCGTCTGCATATACGTACGGTACCGGATACCATGGCGGTGCTCGTAGTGTTGTGCCGTTCAATCCCGCAATGGTAAGTTCCCAGTTGTCTTTCGTTGCCCCGACCGCGTTTGTTTGCGACTTCCCTTTACTACACCGCTGCCTTGCCCCGCCATCATTGGTTCGCATGTTTTCTTGAACATCGCGTGGCTCTCGGCCTTTACTGCCGCGACACCATCTTCCCTCGATCTTGTTGTATCTCACTCCGACCTTCACCTCGTTCCTCCCCTCGCCCTGCTCCACTGTAACCGCGCAATTCCCACCAACCGCCATCGCGACCTGCCTCCTTCACAACTCTCCTCGTCATCGTCCGATCGGCTCCTGTCCATCAATCGTTGCAATGGAGGCATACCCAAAGCCCCGCCACCAATACATCTACAACCCTCGTTACGGCCAACGCGGTTTCCTCTCCTATGCCGGCCAAGCCGCAAACGGCGCCGCGCCCACCGGCGTCATAGGCGGCGGCTATGGCTACGGTGTTGGAATGGGTGTCGGATACGGGGTGGCCGCCTACCAACCTGCGGTATACAACGCCCGTCCCTTGTACCCTCAAACCTACGCCACCAACTACTTTCCCCAAAATTACTATGCCTCCAATTATTCTTACCCTTCCTATGGCGGTGGCTATGGCTACTACAACTACAACTTGTATGGTTCGCTGTACCCACTTGCTAACTTCTATTACCCCTACCAGAGGACCTACTACAACACTGTGCCTAGCTACGGCTACTCGGCGCACGTCTATCCACCCGGACCAAGTACAACTACCACAACATACCATGTGACGAACAGTCAACCACAAGGACCGCAAGGCTTCTCAGGCCCAAGGACGGTCAGAGAGACAAGGCCAGCATACGTTCACGGCCACACACAGCAAGGTCCCACGCGTGAAGACATCCAGATGGAGAATCGGAGGATCGCGACTGAGCGTGGTTCGTACGACCCGCGCAAGATTAGGCCAGCAGATGCACGCGACGACGATCCTTTCTGGTGTCGCGAGCTCAACGGCGAGTGGCATCTCAGGTCCTACTACCAGATTGAGAACGAGTGTCATCCTGGCCGATGGATGATGGATGCTGACGTTGGCTTCCTCGTCTTCCACCGCGCATGATCGGAGCATTCTTCCACAGCTAGCGACGCGCTCATCAGAGACAAGAAGCGGTTGATGATACGGACAGGAAGGAGTGGTCCACATCGCGTTAGGCATCAACGACAATGAGACAACGAGGTGACGGGATCTACGGTTTTCACGATTTTGTTCATGTATAGGGCGGTGGATACTTCTGCCTAGGTATACGAAGCAGCATACCATGTCATTGGCGTTGAGGTTATGAAGGACAGGCGTTATCAGGAGTGTTTCTTAGGAGAGTCAGAAAAGCAACGGCGGAATTGCGACTGCACGATAGACCATAGTAACATAACATACTGCTCAAACATTCGGATCCAGCTCTCGTACTTCGCACTCTTATGGTATTGTTTCGTTATCATATCCTTGACGTTTCAAGTTCCTCATGCAAGACTCATCGAGTCAAACACAGGCTCAACGTTGCTCGCGAACAGGTCCATCTTAAGATCCTGCACTTCACATCTTCTCTCCCTGAATTGTGGCAACTACCTTTCGTGTGTGCTTCGAATCTCTGAACTCGAGGTACCATATGCCTTGCCATGTGCCCGTGTTCAGCTTTCCATTTGTGATCGGAATGGTGACGCTCGCACCAATCAACGCAGACTTGACATGCGCGGGCATGTCATCGCTGCCTTCTGCATCATGGCGGTACAGTCCCTGGCCCTTTTTGTCCTCCGGCACAATGCGGTCCAGCGCCGTGCTCATGTCCGCGCGAACATCCTGATCCCAGTTCTCGTTCAAAGACAGCGCGCACGATGTGTGTTGAATGAAGAGGTTCAGCAGGCCAGTCTTGTAGTTCTTGATCTCGGGGACTTCTTTGACGATGTGGTCGGTGATGAGGTAGGAGCCGCGCGACCGGCTGGGGAGGGTGAGGGATTTCTGTGCCCTAAGAACTGTTAACAAAAGAAGACACGTTGTAGAGTAGAAAAAGCAAGGACATACCAAGACATGATTGGTACGGAGGTGCAGACGTTCGGACTCTTGCACAGTACGCTTGCGCGTGGTTGGGGTGTTGGTACGAGGTAGTTTGCGAGGCTGTTGTAGGGCGCCCAGAATATGCCGACAAAGAGGCCTGGGAATAGCGCGATTACGAAGATGAAGACGATCAGGAAGGTCGTTAGATGTGAGCTTGTAGAGTGTGGTTGCGGCATTGCGTTGAGCTAAAGTTCGGAGAGTTGAGTCGCGTTATGTGGGGTGCAGTGACGTCAGAGGAGTGTCGCGGTGGGGTTAGGTCGTCTGAAATGTAAAGAGCATGTCCGTTGTCAAATTTCACACCCAACATACGCACATAATACATGTCTTGGCTGTGTGGTCGTTGACGCAGTAAGAATGGGGTGCCACGTTGAGCCAGTGCTGAATCACCCGTAGTGAGGTCTTTCCACCAGGCACAGCCTCGTCCTCTTCTCTTTCCGCCTTCAACTTATCAGCAATGACTTCAACTGACCATCAAGGCTCTCAGGACGCGTTTCGTACGTGTTCAGGTGTTATTTCAAAATCACTGGATCAGCAGCAGGTATATGCACACCCTTATCAACGTGAAAAACACCATTTTGACCGCAGAAGACAGACTGCGAGTGCGATACCCTGACTTGAAGTGTCCAGACTCAATTGACGCAGAGGAAGCCATCGGAAATTGTGCCTTCGGATCATGAGCCAATGAGTGTATCAAGCTTTCAAAGAATAGAAGGCCGAAAGATCATCCATCTTCAATGCAGTTTGCTTTCTTTGAGCCGGTGTTGTGCAAACGTGGAGCTCGTTGGGTCTTACATGTACAACGAGCATATCCCAGCATGCTCAGGTTTGACGCATGCTGATGTCTGACATAGACCTAACACTTGTGGAAGTGAGACCGATTCTCACCGCGATCTCATAAGCGATGAAGCTTAAATGAGGGCCTTTCTACTCCTTGTCATCGCCGCCAGGGTCGGTTGTCTTCTCATATGCGCTGGAAGTGACATAGAGATAAGAGCCCAGAGCATGTCAGCGTTTTTGTGCTTATACTGCTTGCTTCTCAGTCCTATGAAGTGGCACATCAAAGCTGTCTCACGACGATGTAGCATGATCACTCGATGCTGTCAAGTAGGACACGGCTCGACTTGAGTCGCGCGAGCCATCCATCCAGAGAACGCACTTTGCTCTTGTCGCAACAGGTGTTCGAGCACCTGTTAGGTCAATCACGTGCTTTCTCTCTTTTGTACTAGTGTTTTACGCGCTCGCCTGTATATATTACGCTGCTCTCGTCTGATCTTACAAGAGCAGTGATTACAATCCCGATCACCTGAATCTATTGTTTCCAGCTCGATTTCCTCCACAGCTCTCGCATGATATTATCAGAGCGGAGCTCAATTTCGTAGTCTGCAAGTTTCGATGCGTATGGGTTGTATCGCTCTTGAAGACTGGGAATGGCCGCAACCTTAATACGATGGTAGACGATAGTTTGTCAATGTCTCGATTGCAATGCATATGTACACCAGCCCCAACCGCTCTTGTGACTGCCTCGCTCTATCGCTGTGCAAGCGGCTCATCCGTAACCTTCTGCGTTTCGTTGACTTCCGCCGCATCGCCTTTGGGTCCAAGGGGGTATGATAGCTCGTGTTCAGGGGTGGCTTCGAGGAGCGGTCGGTGTTTCTCGTGTGCCTATGAGTTTCATTAGCGGTATTCTACTGACATGACCAGCACCAGTATCGAAAAGCTGAAGTAGACATAGCCCAAGTGGAGACTTACGAATGGAAGTCCACAGTATGTGCACCAGCAGATCTGGGGCTTATCTACGTTGATGAAGATCCTTGGGTGTCCGAGAGGGCCACCGCCTCCGTCACAGGATACAGTACGGTCGTGTGTCCAGCGAACGGGCTGCTTGTGGATGAGCTCGATCGCGGCATATGGGCGAGGCTGTACGACTTTATGTCAGCATATGAATCTCCCCTGCATAAACCAACCCTTTCTTCCACGGTTGTTTCCGTTTCTTCTATGATGTCCGCTCCAGGAGAGTTCGACATACCTGATCCTCCATAATGCTCTGCTCGAACCTGGGCCCACTCATCGCAACCTCCCTCGGGTTTTGACTCCGCGACCAAATGCCCTTGTAGTTCGGCGCCTGTTCAACCCTCAACTTCTCGGCTGTCTCTGGAGACTCCTGCAAGACCTTGTCGAACGAACCCTCGGAAGATGTAGGCATCGCATTGGTCTCGGAAACGTTCGGCTTCGCATCGCGCTTGACAGGGTCGTTGGCGGGGACCTGGTTGCTGGTAGTCGCGGTGGAGGTGTAGCGGACGAAGGAGCGGGAGGAAGCCGCTGCGCTGCGAGAGCGCAGGGCGCGAAGGGCCGTTGGGAGCATATCTGGCGAGGTGTTGGAGCAGACGGGCTGCGCAATTGCTTGGGAAAGATGCCGTTTGGATGGTGAAGTTGAGCTTCGGGCGGTTCGCGCTAAATTACTTACATAAGCGATCGTGTTATTGGCTTGCTTCCCTTCACACTCAACCTTCAAGAAAGTTGATTCCAAGAACAATTCCAAGACATAGCACTAAACTCAGATCTCGAGACTAGTGAAATCATTGTAATGAACTACTAACTTGGCCTGAGAAGGCACGACCAACACAGTATCAACCGATACTGAGGAAGAGATACCTAGGTACAGTCGTATGGTACATATCGCATTTTCCTACCCTGATATTCACGATTTCGACGCTTCCAGGTACTTATTACGGCCGATCACATTGGAAATCGGAAGTTAAAGACGTAAAGCCGCAAAGAGAAAGACGTATCACGCGGAGTTTCGATGGTCTGAGCCGAGAAGGCGACATGTAGTAGAAACACTGAAGGCTCAAGATCTGCCGAGTACTGCTTCGCAAAGCACATCAATGAGTTCATCTCGAACCACCATCTGTACAACAGAATAAGCATGTAGAAGAGAACGCCTAGGGATGACGCCCACACACCACAGGGCTGATATGGTAGCCGAGTCGGAGATCGGCTCTCCGCTAAGCCCGGGCCCTTACCTATCCAACCTCGAACTCCAACATACCTAGGCATCAAACACCAGATACCATCACCCGAATCACAGACCTTTACAGTACTTTCCATCATGGTTGGCTCAATACCAAACGATATATTCCAATTCTCCACCTACGCAGCTCTCAACGCCGGATTCAATCAAGGCCAACCCCGAACCGCAGACCTTACTTCCCACGGTACAGATGGCATTGGTGTTTACGAAGATGGCAGTCTCATGATCTTGAAAGACCGACAAGCGTACGCACTTACCAAGGATGGCAAAGCCAAGTCAGCACCCATGAATGCACGTCTTCCTCTCGCATTGGTCACAGTATACCAGCCAACATTTCGTCTGAAGATCGGGTCGATGTCGCTGGAAGCCCTTGATGAGCTCGTTTCATCAGATGATGTGGGTCCAGCGAAGGGTGTGAATACTCTTATGCCCTTTAAGATCGCTGGTCGTTTCGATTCGATAGAATTCGAAGATGGGCCCAGTAGAAATGCAATCGACGGTACGGTGTTCGGCTTCGTGGTGCCAGCCTGGATGAAGGCCATCAGCGGCCCACGGATCCATGCCCATTTTCTGGACGCAAACGAAGAGTTCGGAGGGAAGGTCGTCGATTTCACGATGGCTGAAGAAGCAGTGTTCAGTTTTGCGAAATGCGGGAGATTTCATTTGGGCTTTCCACAGGGAGGAGAGTGGGAGGAGATGAAGTTGTGATTGGAGATGTGTGCTCGAGATTGGATCACTATCATCGTATTGATCGCTTTATAGAATCGCCACGATCGCCTGAGTGTGGTGACACTACCAAGCACTTAGACAACATGTAGCTACGCAGCTCCATCGATGTCGTCGTTCTTCACCCTTGTTCTCTAACGCGTCCTCATCATCGATGTTTCAATCGCAACGGCATCGACGAACACGTCTCAGGGCTTTCTTAGACGACATAGAAATTCTCGCCGTTATCGTCGACTCATTGCGTTCTCCTGGATTCGTCACATCATGCATCGTTCTTGATGTTTGTGCTGCTAGATCCAAGCCCATTGTCGACATAATCATGATGAATGGATATTCTGCGTCAAAGTTGCCCTCCGGCACTCAGAGAAGTTGCTGAGGGCGTGATCGGGCAGCGTATGAGTGGTCGTTATGATCTCAACCCACCAATTCATCAAGTTCCATCTCTTCGAGCGTCAAACCATCTGTTAACGAGTTCCCAGGCTCACGCGTAACTCAAATCTTTATCTTAGATACTTGCACCCTTAAAGTTATCGCTAATTTATGTTAGCATGCAACGCTTGACAGATCCACGTCGATGTTAGACATTCAGTGCATCGATCGGTCTTCGTGTCGGGCGAAACTCTTACCTTCTCGCGGTACCAGAAAATCCAGCATTCTTCGTACTGGTTCAGTAACAAAAACTTTCAAAGAAGGAATCGTGCTGTTTAGGGTACATGATTGTATATGTGGTCATCAGTTTACTCTAACAACCGCACAATATCCTCATGTCCCAATTTGCGAGCAAGATCCAAAGCTGTTAACCCCACCATGTTCCTGTACTCCTTGGTCGCGCCTTTCTCTAAGAGAAATGAGACTGTCTCATTATGGTGGTGTTTAACGGCACAATGTAGCGCAGAGCCCCAACCTTCGTCCTCTAGTTGGCAAGGGATTATCTCGAGCCTTCCGTACGGGTGTGCATTGACATCGGCGCCTCGATCCAGAAGCTGCTGCATAATGTCAATGCTGCCTTCACTGGCAGCATTGAGGAGTGCCTTGGGCGCCTCTTTCAGCGATGCGTCGTGTGCCAACAATAGCGCGGCCATATGCCTGTCATCTTTCCCACAGGCTATTTCGAGCGGGTTTTCGTTCGTCCGGGTGCTCTCGTTCACATGGGCGCCTTTTGACAATAGATGCGCAGCAATTTTTAGGCAAGCTGTATCGCCATCAGGAAATCCTGGGCCTGTCTCCGCGTCATTGACGGTGGATCTGTTTACCTGTCAGTTATTTCTGGGAGTCAAATGGTCTCCAGAAGGGTAGCGAAGGCTTACACAAGAGCGCTGCCAACATGCTCATAGGGCTCGTTGATATTCCAACCGTACGCCAGCGCCACATCGATGGCTTTCGTGTTCCACTCATTTTCCCTACGTGCCCCATCCAGAACATACCCGATGGTGCAATCAGTGCACCTAGCACCACGTTTGAAAAGCTCCTCGGCCATGTCGTACCGGGCCAGCCCTAATGCTTCGTTGAGGGCATCGCTCAATCCGTTACCCTGGCGCAAAGCATCATGACCTTCAGCCTCGCGTTTCGACATCACATCATGTAGGGTAGCGAGGTCGTTGGACTCGATAGCGGCAAGCATTTGTGTGTTGAAGTTATCTTCGTTGTTATCAGTAAGCCCTGCCATTGCTTGAGTGATGTAGAAGATAAATTTTGAATGTGAATATCTTTTGCACTTGCGATTTGGAAAATGAATATTGCGGGCTTGGAAGATGGAATTCAGCTGCCAAAATGGTAATGGGTTGGAGGGAAGAAGCCGAGGGCGGAAACCCTTTCTAACATGCTGTCTCTTTAGTGTGGCGCAGTCAGGTCGTAGAAGGCGTAGCAACATCCATTTCAGCCCTTTGGGCGCCCTTTAACGCCCTCGCACGCATGACATACCTTCGATTCCTAACTGCCTCCTTATTGCACCCCGAACAATCCGGTTTCCACCGCTCACACGCTGGCTATCCATCATCACACTGTCGCCCTTGGCACCCCTTCGCTCTCTAAAAGGCGTAGCATGCCTAGGTAGTCACAGCCCCAGCTAACCTGTCTAAATTCTGAAGTAAGGCCTTACCCTCATACATACAACGCCGTCGCGGGGTTTCTTTACTATGCAGGAACTAGCCAAGAATCACTTTTGTTACAGCCAAGGTCATTGTTATCTCTTGGTACTGAGGCAATAGTAAAAAAACCTAACAGAACCGACGACGATGATTGCTATGCTGGTGAGCACGACAAAAGCAATGCGAGACTTTTCACTTCCTGGATAGGCACCAGATCGTTCTTCTGCTCACCCAAACTGAAGCTATTGTAATGGAATCGTAATTTCATCATGGTGGTATTTCAGTAAGAGGCCGAAGGATGTAGACAACCTATAGATGATACACCAGAAGAAACGGAAGAGGAGTTGTATTGGGCCAGGTTGGTGGTGATAGGAGGCTGAGCAGTAGCAGTCAACACGAGTCGGGTGGTGTAGAAGTACCTAGGTATCTTCTCTACCGGAACGGGCTCAGGCCGGGGGTATCTGATCGTTGATTGTACCTCCTTGTATGCCATACTTAGGTACTTTCGCGACTCAGCTGGTCCAATAATTGACACAGCTCGTGGAAGCGCTCAATGCAACGACAGTGGCTCTGATATTTGTGATGGTTCAAACTATTGGTTTGGCTGATGGCGTTTCGTAGCTGCGGCGAGTCGTCCGGAGCTTTCCACTTTCGGATAGCTTCGCCCCATCTGTGGCGCTGCTCAGGTGGTAACTCCAGCTGTACTACAACAACACAGCCTCGCTCTCTGCCATCGACTCTTTCGTCTCTCTCACTCCGTCTCGAGCTTCATCAACACTGTGCGAAACTTCCGATATGACGAGAAATCACCCCAGCCTTCGCAAGGCGGCTTCGAACGCGGACCTCTACGCGGATCCGTCACCGCCCCGCCCGCTACGGCATTCGTACTCCACGACACTTGGACGCGCTCACACAACCGCATCGCTACCTCAACGTCATCGACAGGACCGAGTGATAGAGAGAGGATGGAGGAGCCGCGAAGCTGTTTCCGACTACCGTAACCGGCACAGTATCGCCGCGACGTATCCCAACCTCATCGATGTTGAAGACGAAGACTACGCGCCCCCTTCGAGCTACCAAAACCCTCCCCCTGTACCACCGAAGATACTAGAGGTTCCAGTTGAGCAAGTAAAAGAGGACGTCGAGATGCCTAAGCCAACGCCCTCTCATTGTTGGATTCCGGTGCCTGCTCGCTCAAAGGAAGATCCGGCACGCTACACGAAGCCCTTCACCGACTACATGACGAGCAATCCTACAATTTTCCACGCTGTCGACGCTGTCGCACAGGACCTTGAGAAGGATGGCTACAAGAAGTTGTCTGAGCGCAATGCGTGGGAGCTGAAGGCTGGCGGCAAATACTACGTTGAACGCAACGGGAGCTCGCTCATCGCCTTCGCCATTGGTGATAACTACGCGTCGGGCAATGGAGCTGCGATTCTCGCTGGACACATTGATGCGCTCACAGCGAAGTTGAAGCCCATCTCGAACCTTCGCACCAAATCAGGCTACGTACAGCTCGGTGTGGCCCCATACGCCGGTGCACTGAGCGACACATGGTGGGACCGCGACCTTGGTGTTGGTGGACGGGTACTCGTCAAGGAGAATGGGAAGATAGTCACGAGGCTTGTCAAGCTGGACTGGCCTATTGCAAGGATTCCAACACTAGCACCTCATTTTGGTGCTGCCGCCAACGGCCCGTTCAACAAAGAGACGCAAATGGTCCCTATAATCGGTCTGGACAACAGTGATATTGGAAGTTCGTCGGAACATGGTGAGGAGAACTGGAAAGCCAGTGTGCTGGGCGGAGAGGGCGCATTCGCTGCTACGCAGCCGGAGAGGCTTGTGAAAGCCATCTCAAGCGAACTCGGCATCACGGACTGTATGTGCACTACACTCTTACGTCCATGAAGATGCTGACTTGAAACAGATTCGTCCATTGTCAATTGGGAGCTTGAGCTCTTCGATACGCAGCCTGCCCAGACCGGTGGCCTCGACCGGGAGTTCATCTTCGCCGGTCGGATCGACGACAAACTCTGCTCTTGGGCTGCTATTCAAGCTCTCCTCAACTCGAGTTCATCCCTCGCAACCTCGTCCCAGATCCGCATGGTCGCCCTCTTCGACGACGAAGAAGTCGGCTCGCTACTCCGACAAGGTGCCCATGGCAACTTCCTGCCAAGCGTCATGGAGCGCATCGTCGAAGATTTTGCATCGAATGGAAAGACGAGCAGTGCTTTGAGCAGAACATATGCAAACTCTTTCCTCGTCTCCAGCGACGTGATTCACGCGGTGAATCCCAACTTCCTCAACGCGTATCTCGAGAACCACTCTCCCCGTCTCAATATCGGTCCTGCTGTCTCTGCGGACTCAAACGCGCACATGACGACTGACGCTGTCTCCACCGCTATTCTGCAGCGCTGTGTTGATCGCGATGTCGGCATGCGCAAGGTCGACCCTAAGCTTCAGGTGTTCCAAATTCGGAATGATAGCAGGAGTGGAGGCACAGTTGGACCAATGCTGAGTTCTGCAACGGGTATCAGGTCCATTGATTGCGGCATTCCGCAGCTGAGTATGCATTCTATCAGGGCAACGACCGGAAGTTTGGATCCTGGTCTGGGTGTCTTTACTTTCCAGAGTTTCTTGGAGAACTTTGAAAGTGTTGACAAGGAGTTCAGGGCATAGAGTGTCGTTGGAGTTGGATATATTATCGAGTACAGAATCACAACTGGTTTTCACGTCTTACAATACAAATCAGTGACCACATGTCTACATGGTTGAACCAGAACGTCATTCATTGAACAGATTACGAATTGAAGTATTCTAAGTACTCCGCGGCCTTGACCATAGCGCCGGAAATCCGAAAACTCCACCTTGATGCCGCCAAAATCAATTCGTGCAACGCCGCTGGGCGAGCTTCGTACATACTCTCGGGATCGACCTTGGCCACCGCTGCAGTACCCATAGCACAGAAGCATACGTCTACTAAGCATTGGGCCGTGTCGGCATTTCCTCATCTTCGTCATCTTCTGGGTGACCAAGCAGGTCCTTGACGTTCTTCATTTCATAGTGCTTCTTGCGCAACTCTTCAAACTTGCGGTGCTTCTCCCTCTCTTCCTGGGTGGCGTTGGGGAGGAGCTCGCCGTGGTAGCCTTCATCTGTATCCATGCCCTCTTCCACCATGACCCTCTTCTCGCTCTCGGGTGTCTGCGACTGTCGTGCCTGCAGCTCCGGCTGTCCCAAGTCGAACTCGGGTATATCTTCAATCTTAGGTTTCCGCTTTGGCTTGTCCAGCTCGTCCACCTTGAGCTCTTCGGCGTTGAGCATTTCGACCTCCTCTTCGTCCTCGGCGGGATCGTACTGCTTGGCGTATGGTGTCTTGGGCTCATCGATCTTCATGGTGCTGTCGCGGTTCTGCTCGTTCAGGTAAAGGTTGGCCTCGTCCCACTTGAGCTGCGGGCTAGTCTCATCCGCGGGGTCAATGCCCGACTGCCGTCGTGAACCGATGCCGCGTGGGTTCGACGAGGATCTTCGGTGAGCGCCAGCATTGCGCAGCGTGTTCTCCAATACAATTTCCTTCTCTGATAATTCGCGACCCAGCTGCGGCCGCTCGGATATGGGGCTTACGGCCGGTGGAAGCTCGCTAGTGGGGGACGTTTGGGAGTCGGCGCGGTACGAGCTAGAGTTTTTGAGGATACCTGGCCTTGTTAGCCATGCGTGCACCAGGCGGCGGGGTATGGGAGAGTCCCACCCTTAGGTCGCTCAGGATGCGAGCTCGGCGAATGCAGTTCGGGGGATTGTCCAGTCATGTTGGGTGATATGGGAGGGACTTTGCGACAGTAGCCGTTGGTGTGAGAGGCTGAGATGCGGGAGGAGCGGGCTTTGTATGGTGGTGGGCGACAGATGAGGCGACGGCGTTAGTTTAGGACGGCTAGAAAGCAATGCGCGTGGTGGGGTGCGTTGTCCTGTGAACGGCGGAAGTATGACGTAGGCCCCAGCACAATCCCACCCCGCACGCGTTCTGATTCACATGCAGGTGCGGCCTGTAACCCCGGTCATTGTAGCAGATGCAGAGGTTGCCGCGGTTATTAAGACGTCTCGATGCATCGAGGAAATGTCCACCCATTGTGGTCAGTGTGGACAACCTGGTCGCAAGCCGCCTGTGGTCAAAGCACGCATGAGAAAATCATCTGTATTATTCTGATATTGCTTTCACTCCGGAACAAGTCCGCCATCTTGATGCTTTCCTCATTCTGTATCGAAGGACAAGCGGCTCTACGGCACCTAGCGTCTACGAGAGGTAACTGTCAAGCGATGCAGCCAATGTCCGCCAAGACTCTTCAGCGTGTTCTAATGTTAGAGCTTTCTTAAACCGCGACGCGCCTGACGCTACTCGCACCGGAAAACATCCATGGCGGCGAGATGTCAGGTACTGAGATACACGGTGAGACCACAAAGGAACCAGTGCCCAACCTTAGCGGCTATTCAGAGCCAATTCACCGCCTGAGCAGCGCTATATAGTACTGCTTAGTCGTCAATTAGCGGAGATTCCAGAGGTACCTGATACACGCGTGGCACAATTGTGGGCTTCAGACTTTGCCTTAGAGCTTCAAGCTCAACCAAGAAATCGCAAAGTTGCGATAGTGTACATCTGGCTGAGACTCAGACTACCAGAAGTGGTCCAAAGGACCTAGTCATCACTAGCCGTGTCGCGAACGAAAAAATCATGGCGGCACACATACAGAAGAGACTGAGACAGCTTGCAGCCTCAACGCGTCGCGCGCGTGATGAAATAATGTCCCTACTTTCAGGTCATCACCGCATCATGGAAGCCACCGAAGCGGCCCTCGTGATGATGGTTTTAGAAGAGGATGGCTCGTTCTGGGCCAGTTATCCGAGTTGCCAGCTGAGTAGGATGTGTCGAGCTGGCAAATGATACGAGTCAAAGGCCGGTGTTGAAGAAGAGAAGAGGACGGGCGCGCCGGCGAAGAGAATATCGAGCTCGGTTGATGACTAAGCCACATCCCTGCCGCGGAAGGCGCGCGCCTGAGCTGCAAGTGCCAACCTCTCAAACGTTTTCTCAGTACGCACCACCATCCGCCATTGCACACGATACATCCCACCACGCTCGACAATCACACACCCCCGCCTTCGCCACATCTTTCCGCAGCATCATACCAACGACACGTGACAGACTTCCTCCTCGCAGCAAACATCCACCACCACAAACTACACCCCGCATATCTTCGACGCACATTGGCCGCTAGCCCGCCAGCTCCTCTGCTGCTTGTTCGCTCGTTACTCCCACCAAGCCTTGGATATTTAACCTTCTTGCATTGTATTATATACTCGTTTGACACTGCTGCCAATGGATAACAGGGATAATCTCTGGACTCGGCGCTCCAAGTATGCTCCTGCGTCCCCGCATCTTTGTTCTCTCCACTGACGGCCGCCAACAGCACCAGCAAGCTCTCTCTCTCCATGTCACATTCGGAAAATAACAGCGAAAAATCCGAGCCGCACCAACGCACCGTCTCCGCTACCAAACGCTTCGGTGGCGACTCCTCCCACGGCGGTCGAAACCCTTTCAACGCTATATCGCCCTTGACACCCGGTGGTTTAGCGTCACCCACAACTGGGGGCTCTTCTGCGTTTGGGCTCGGCTCAGGCGCGTTCGCCTCCTTTGGATCTGCGGGAAAGGCGCCCAAAACGCCTGGCACTGCTTTCGACTTCAAAGCAGCCGCCATGTCGTCGCCCACGCCCGCGACACCTTCTGATAAAAAGGACAAGCCCGTGAGCAAGGTCGTCAATAGCATACGCAAAGAATCGATATCCACAACCTCAATACCAGACAACACAGCGAGTCCCTCTGCGCCGCCAGATTTCAATGCGCCGTGGCCGCTCAAATACACATGGGCGGTATGGTACCGTCCGCCTACGGCCAAGAACGTAGACTACGAGAAGTCGATTGTGCCCCTCTGTAAATTCAGTACGGCGCAAGAGTTCTGGAAGGTCTTCTCCCATCTTAAGCGTCCTTCGAGTCTCCCCTCCGTTTCCGATTACCACGTGTTCAAGCAAGGCATCCGGCCGGTATGGGAGGACGATGAGAACAAGCGAGGTGGCAAGTGGATCATGCGCCTGAAAAAGGGCGTGGCTGACCGCTACTGGGAGGACCTGCTACTAGCACTCGTTGGAGATCAGTTCCTGGATGCCGGGGAGGAGTTCTGCGGCTTCGTCTTGAGTGTCCGGAGCGGCGAAGATGTCTTCAGCATCTGGACTAAGAGCGATGGTGTGAAGAATGTCAAGATTCGGGATACAATAAGGCGGGTCCTCAAACTGCCGGAGGGGACCAACATAGTATGGCGCAGTCACGACGACAGCATCGCCCAAAGATCGGCCATCGATCAAGCCCGCCATGAGAAGAGCCAGCATGAAAAACGCAGAGTAGTGTCTACGGATGAGTCACGTGAGAAGCCGACTGCTGGTTCCTAGGAGAATCTCAGCCTAGCGACGATCTTCAGGCCGACCCCAGATCAATCGCAAAGCCAACCATACAACCCATGTATTCGCCACGGTCGTCTGACGGCTGGCTTACGCGACCGTTATTCGCACCGTATGCCCAAACGCGTCTGAAACAACGCCGCTTCGTGTTGTACTGGGTGCGGGTTGCAAGTTGGCTGTCAATACTCTGGTGCTTTCGACGGAGCACCGCTTGTAAGAGAGACTGCTAGCTTCTGTTGCTGAGTGAGTTGCACGGAGAGATGTTTCTTTGCCGAGATGCACAAACAGATACCGTGAAGGTATACACCATACTGTCATCTGTAGATGCGTTCATGACATGACCGCGAATACCTTCTGGTCACGTCAGTCACAACTCGGAAATGTAGAGCGCGCTCGATTGGGGACGTCGCTGAAAGGCTGGCCATGCACGTAGCACATCCAGGGCCCTAGCCTCATTTCTGTACATTGTATTTTTACATAGCGAAGCGTAGGATCTCAGGTAGCACCAAGCCCTGAAGCCCGCCTGTCCACAGAGCGAGGCATCGAAGAAGAATATGTCGCATTGATTTGTGACTATGAACATATCACCAAAGTCCCCAACGTGACCTTATCCGACGTGCCGTTTGTCGTGACGCACCAATCTGTTCTCGAGCTCGACGTCGCAGCTGAGCCGTCGCGTCCCTGCAGCGCGCTGAAGCACCTACGTCAAGGCGCACGGACGTATCGCCGACGGGTTCTCTGGCGCACCTTCACCTCCGCATGCCCCACGGTGCGCGTCTGCGCTTGTGCAGTTCCCTCACGCAGTTCCGAGGTCACCCAGCCTACCAGACGATGCGAATGCCCGCCGCTCTGCCACCGCAATGCGACACCAATGTTCACTAACTTATTCAACGGCATACGAGCCGCTGCCGAAAGCTCTTTCGGACTCACCAACTCAGACGTACGCGCCTTTTCCTTGCTCGACGGCTCGACTGCCTCAGACACTCAAACAACTACACTCCCCTCTCATGCTGAACTGCCTGCGCCCCCAGCTAACGCCATGTCGCCACAGACAGACGATGTCGTCCCCCAGTCGCCCTCGGGTCCCGGCTTGCCTCCCAATCCTTTCCTCGAGGAGTCAACACCCCCCAGGAAGACCTCGCGCGTCCTCATAGACCTCTCTTCGCCCCCGAAATCTTCAAGCCGAACTCCACGCAAAGAGGCGCGTTCGGAAATGGCCCGCCCACGGCAGCACGTCACACAAAGGAGCGAGGATGAGAAGCGATTAATTGGGGATTATTCGTAAATCGCCTTTGTACACCGAAACGGAAGAAAGAGACTAATGTTTGCGAAGTAGACCTGCAGATGCTATTAGTATGCCCGACCCATCCACTTGGATGGCGATACCGAAGAAGCGCACCATGCCTACAAAAGTATGCATACTACCACCTGTCTGTGCCTATAGTATTATACTGACCTCCAAAAGCCAGGGTCGAGTAACGTCTTCAAGCCCGTAGACACGATACAAGGAGGATCCAAGAAGCCTACTACGTACGGGAAGCGCGATCGTACACAGACGCCACTGATAGGCCAGGCGCATGGGCCGGGCCAGGCTGCCTACCTTCAGCGAACAGACAGAGCACCTGCAACAACGCCTCGTCGTCCTTCTTCCTCAGAGAGCCAGGATCGATGGTCGAGTGGAGCTACACCTGGAAAACGAAGGAGGACTGCCAACGTTATTTCACTTGTCGATGACGACGATGAAGTGGTGGAAGTATCTCAAAACCACCAAAATACACCTGTTGGCACGTCACGCGAAAGGCCGCGTTCTGCCTGGTCTCTGCATTCACAGATAAGCAACGGGAGCGAGAGCACAGTAGGCGACTACAAGCCGCCTCAGGCTACAAGCGAATTTAGAGAAGTGGACAATCTTCTCAGACCGTCCCAGAAGAAGCCGAGGAACTCGAGTTTCAACACAGCCAAAGGTGGCGCGCGACGCTCTCCTCTTACCGGTGGTTCTCTATCGACCAGCCCTGGCGTACATACTCCTCGGCAGGCGATATTGCAGACGTTTCGACAGGGTGAATCCAAGCGAAGTCCTAGGAAGTACGACGGAGCCGAAAGAAAAGTCGACATAGTCACGTCTCGCTACTTTCCCGAAGCCCGCATCAATGAGTCAACATCTGATCACGCAGACCAGAACCAACGTGTAACAGTTGAAGACGAGGACCTTCGCACCCAACACAAACCTGTGCCAAAGCAAGCGGGACCTATGACTGACAACTACAGCGCGGACGAGCTTGCCATCACGCCTCCGCACCCGGGAACCAGACTTGTTTCGAAGCAAAAGCAAAAGCAGACTGCAAATAGTGGAGTCAAGCGAAACGCTCGCGGAAGGGTTGTAGAAGGACTCTGGCCACTTTCGTTTGCACGGTCGTATGGGTTTCAGAGCCACGGATCAACAACCATGGACGGCCATGCCATCTTGCTCTTAAGATGGAGGAAAGATGAGGGGTTACGTGTCCAGACTTGGGAGTCAGTGGATGGCGTCTACGATAGCAAACTTGTCATAGAGCCTAAAGACGTCAACCAAGTATACGCGGACGGTACAAGCCGCATGCGGTTGACGGGCCCTCGCGGACACGACGGGAACAAACTCATCTTGGACCTGGAGTTTGCTGATACTGCCGATTTCCTCATCTTCCGTGATGAACACGCAGTGTCGATGACGTCAGGCGGAAAGTGTATCAATAAGTCGGATGATTACATGACCCATCTTTTCAAAACACCTCTCCCATCGAGAAACGAGAAGGTTGGTACGTCTGCACTGGTAGGCGATTCAACAGCGAGTTTTGAACAGCCTCACCGCGAAAAAGCTAATGGAGTGTCGAAGAGACCTCTGTTGGATCAGCTCAAGCCCGCTGTCCGTCAGCATGTTATTGATGCTGAATCTGGCACTACCACGACAAGCAGAGCATCCACCCGTCCGTCACGTTCAACAAGATCGGCCCCGATTAATTACGTCGAAGACACGCCTACACAGTCGGATGTACCCAAATTCTCAGTCGAAACTGGACTTGGACAACCCTGGGCTAAGTAAGTTTCCACGCACTTACTCATGATTCTGCTAACCATCCCAAGGTCTCTTGAATTTGGCGAAGGTCGTCAACGGGCGATAGTGCACTTTGATGATCTGCCCCGCCTGGACGAGGAAGAATTCTTGAACGACAGCCTGATCGATTTCTACATGATGTGAGTGCGTGTTCACCTTGCCATTAGCGCTGCTAACCTTCTCCAGCTACCTCTTCAAGCAGCTCAAAGTGCCTGCTGATAAAGTCTACTTCTTCAACACCTACTTCTTCACGAAGCTTACCGAGAACTCGGGTCGGAAATCCATGGACTACAAGGCTGTGCAACGCTGGACGTCTAAGATTGATATCTTCACCTACGACTACATTGTTGTTCCCATCAACGAACAGTATGTCAAATTACCACCGCTTTGATAGCCTATGCTAACAGTCTATAGAGCCCATTGGTACCTGGCGATTATCTGCAATATGTCGAAGGTTCAACGCAAACCCATAGTTCAAGACTTCGATGAGCCTCAGGTAATCCCACACGATCAAGCAAGTGATTCAGCCGTGACAGCCACGAACCCCGAGACGCATGCGACTATGGTACACAAATCAACATCCCCAGAGCCAAATGTCATCAATGAAGAAGCAACAGCGGCCCAAACGAACGATGAAGAGCCTATGCTTTTTGATGAAGCGGCACTATCTCTTGTCGACCGCGACGATACTGGGACCGAAACTCCGCATAAATCAGAGACGACCCAAGCAGATTCAACATCCCAGAATCCAGATACAGAAGCTTTAGCTGAAATCAGAGACACACACCCAGGAATATTGTCCCAATCTCAGTTCACCGCGTCTTCTGCAAAAAAGAAGGCAAAACGCAAGCCCATAGCCAAAAGAGATCCTGATCAACCTGTCATCATAGTACTCGATTCTCTTGGTGGTAATGCCCGTACTGGAGCGGTTCGCGCTCTCAAAGACTGGATAGCAGCGGAGGGGGCAAGCCGGCGTGCTATGGAGGCTGTCATCAAAGAGAACGGCTATTATCCCAAGAGTACACAGGTTCCAATGCAGAACAACTTCACCGATTGCGGTGTTTACCTACTTGGCTACATCGAGAAGTTCTTCCAGAATCCCGATGACTTCAAGAACAAGCTGCTCACTGGATCAATGTCGGCTCAAGAAGACTGGCCGGAGCTGAACCCATCGGAAATGAGGCACAAAATGCGTCAAATCATATTTGATTGCTACAAGAAGCAGGAAGACGATAGGAGAGCACAGAAGAAGGCGAAGAAAGGATCTGCGAGCTCAAAGACATCACCAGCTCCGACAACGTACAAAGCCTCGGATCTGGGCAGACACAACTCTGATGAGTTATCCAGTGAAGAACCGAAGCTCGCACTCTCGCCCAAGAACGCAGGCGCGCAGCCCACATCGCCACGAACCCATTCACCTTCTCATCCTCCACTCAGACTCGCATCGCCGTTCAGTTTCGATGCGAAGCATACTTCTGCTGTTGAGGAAGCACCTCAAATAGCTGTCAGCAAGGTGTCTGACTCACCACCTGTGCTCACATTTCCTGCAAAGCAGGCCGTTGGTAGTCCACGGTTAGAAACGACACCAAGGCGCCATAGTCCCGAAGTGCGCATTTCCAGCAGAACGCCCCAATCACATGATTCTTTGCGCAACGGACACATCACTTCGAACAGAACACCACGTCAATCCAAAGAAAACGATCAAACATCTCAAATACCCGGTACATCAAGCCCAAAGAAGCGCCGAAGACACGGTGACGATAATGATGACATGAAATCGCCATCAGCGAAGCGCCAGCTCATCAAGTCGCCCCAACGACATCAAGATGGCGATCTGGAAACTAAGCAAAGAGCTTCGCGCAGCCGAGAAGGCAGTGTCCCCGACGCACCTATTGAGATCAAGGACTCACAGGAAGTCAAAGACATCAACGTCAACCATCGCCAGCAGGTGCAGGCAGCTCCCACTGCTCAGCGGAAACCCGCATCACGTTATGCACATTCCAGCGAAGGGCTCCGTCCTTCACCTACGTTTGAAGAGATTCCGCGTTTGTCGTACAGCACAAAGACGTCTAAACATGGTCAATACGAAGGTACTCCCGTTGATAGTGCGCTCCAGACAAAGCTGGACGAAGACGACTATGCTAGGGACAAGGCCCGGCGTTCAGAAGCACCTGCTCCCAGCAACATAGATGGAGCGCTGGAGCGTAGAGAGGAGGTATGTGATCCAATGGAAGGGATCTCACAGTCCACTCACGAACTGCAACTTGATGGAGTCAACGACGGATCCGTGGTTCAAGAAACACCAGAACCCGAGGAGAAGAGCACAACCGTCCAAACTGGATGGTCGAGGGACAACCCTACCCTTCTTTAACTGCTCGAGATGAAGCTTCTTCTTTGTTGTTCTGCGAGCGCCAGCTCGACCTTTTACTCAACACATCTATACCTATCTTGGTTTCACGGAGGCGTTATCTATCAGGACTAGTGACGGGGTCTGCAAAGCTCAGCTGTGATCTCGGAGAACAGCATGTCGCAGACTATATGCACATCTGGCAGTGTGCCAGAGATGATAGTACAGCCATATGAACAAGCAATATTTATACTGCACTTTCGAGAATCTTATCCTCTTTCGTACCTCCTTCGTTCAGCTGCCGTGATATAGTTCCGTTCGCGCCGCGTCCGCCTGTAGGGTCATCGAGCGCTGTAACTGCATCATCAACTTCTGCATCTTGTTAGCCTTGAAACCAGGCCCCCCTCGTTCGGGAGGTCTACCGTTGATCGACGGCCTACCCTGGAACCCTTCATCGGTCTCAGCTGCTTCTCTACCCACCCACCGCTTCATCTTATCCCTAACGAACTCTGCAAAGTCCCATTCCTCGGCCTCCAGTCTATGCGCGCCCGCTGTCCAGATGTATGTTTCCGCTTCGACCTCTTCGCCTTCTACATTATCTTCTTCCTTTTGTGATAGGTCGCCCATGCCCACTTCCGTACTGGCGTTGTCATGTTTCGGTTGCAGGACCTTGACTTTTACTTTCCGACGCTGGTACTCTGAGCCTTCGAAGATGTCCAGTCGCCAGATGTCGCCGTCTGTGAGGCCCTCTACAAGTGTGCCGCGCACAGATGAGGAGGTATCGACGGGGAGGATGGCTGGGTAGTCTGCTTGCTTTACTTTGTGTCGTCGGTGCGCGTGGAGGATGGCTGGGCGTATGTGCAGGAGCGAGGCATGCGCTGGTGTAGGAGGGGTTTGCGAGCCCCATATTACGCGGTGGAGGACGGGCGGTGCCATCAGGGTGCCGTAGAAGAAGGCGGTATGTGACATTTTGGTGGGTTGACAGCGAGGGGAAGTCTGTGTGTGTTGAGGCTTAGAGGATTGATGCTGGTAGAGGTGAAAGGCATCCATATATCGTCAATCTTGAAATCGAGTGGAAGCATGGATCTGTGAGTGCATTTGGGGTAACAGCCATGACGGCAGGCGCTAAGCTGCTTATCAGCCCTACAGCGGCCACTAATGCAAGCCAGATCTGATCTGCGGGAGATTGCGCCTCCTCCCTTTTCGCCGCGGGTGTTGTTTTGTTCGAGCCTCATACCCCCAAGTATTGCGCCAAAACGGTTCCGTGGTTGCGTGTGCGTTCCTTCCACAGTCGTCGGACATTCCAGCGTTGCAAAAGGAGTCTCAGGAAAGCCTTCCGACGTTCCGAGACGAACCGCCGGGCCAAGCACACGACCACCAACATGTTCTTCATCAGCGCCATTGTGAAGAACATCGCACCCGTCTTGTACGACTCCACACCTCCTTAGCCTCTCCGTCTCTAACAGACAGCACCCAGCATCGCGACGAGTCCGATTACCAGCTATGGCGACCAGATCTACAGCATGCACCGAGCCCGCAGCTCCGCCGGCTTCTCCCTCGACATTCCGCTCATCATGCTCGTCGCCAGCATCCTGAAGGTCTACTACTGGTTCGGCGCCCACTTCAGCACCTCGCTGCTCGTCCAAGCCCTGCTCATGATATGCGTCCACCTGCTCCTCCTCCACGTCGCGCTCACGAACCGACCGCCGCCCTCGCATCTCCCTTTCCAACACAAGGATGTTTCGAACCGACCGTACGATTTCTGGCAGTGGAGGGCGCCAAGGCCGTATTGGACCTTCATCACATACTTTACTGGGGTGCTCTTGGTGCTGCATCTGCTCATGTCATCCACGAGCGTATTTGTGCCGTACACCGATCTGCTGGGCATGGTTGCGTTGACAATCGAGGCCACGCTTCCGATTCCCCAGCTCCTGGCTAACTACCAGAGACGCGGGTGCAAAGGATTCAGGCCTAGTGTCATAGTAAATTGGGTCATCGGTGATACGTTCAAGATGTGGTTCTTCTTTGCCAGTAGCAGTGGTGAGGTACCTTGGGCTTTCAAGGCTTGTGGTATCTTCCAGGCATGTTGCGACTTGGGACTTGCAGCGCAATACTTGATTTGGGGCGACGGGCCGCCAGGCGTGGAGGGACTGGGTAGGGAGAAGGAGATCAGAAGCCCGATACCGCCCGAGGAGGGATGGAATGCGGAGAAGCTGGGACAGACGAGTATGGCGGGTAGCATCGAGATGAGCAACGGCCAGGCGTGGGAGAGACCGAGGGCTGCGTAGAGTCATGTCGGATCAGAGAAGCGAAACGAAGACGAAGGAAGCCATAATGAAAGAGACGTTAATGTACACAGGCACCACGTATGTCAGAATAATAAGGTTACCAGATAAATATACCACGATACCAATGCGTGAGCCCCCGGGGTTAGGACCACTCGAACACGATGACAATCGACCCATGACTTCTTCGCCTGACTTCGCGGGGTCGGCCGGCACTGGATTCCATGGCATTAGTACATATATCACGACTTCCCAGTCCACCTGCATCGGTCAGGACGAAGCGCAAAGATACCTAGCTAAACGCTTCCTCGTCACCATGAACTCTAACGCCACATCCACTTCTAAAGTACCTCATGAAGCCATTCGGTTCGCCATCCGCGAAAACTTCCCGTCCATTGTCGAGCCTTCTCACGCTCTAGGCGATATTTTGAAATCAATGCTGACAAAGATCAACACGCTCCACGAAATAGCCAGCAGCACGATGGGCGATACAAGAGGAAAGGAGATGACAGATGCAATAGATGGGCTCCTTGATGAAAGTGCGGAGGTGGAAGCGCCGTTCAAGGTTTGGCACGAGAAGCTCAATGTTGCTTGTGTGATGATCAAGTTGGTGTACTCGCAGCAGGAAGCCGCTTCAGGGAAGTAGCAGGCAATGAAGAGATGCAGAAGTTTGCTGGATTGATTTTCATGGGTATGCGCGTGTAAGCAGCTGAACTCCGTTGTTGCGAGCAATGCGCTGTAGTTCCGTGATTGCTGCGATACCATTAAGCTTGATCGCTAAATCCAAACTTCCTAAGCGCGTCATCTAGCCCGGGTAAGTACTTCAGAAATCATAGAAATGGCATTGCTGAGCCAACCTATGGCAAGCATTGCGGTCGAGCAAGCCCAAACATCGGCTATGCAGCGTCCCGATACCATCGATGTGGCTCCACCTCCCTCATGATAGCGTCAGGGAGCGAGTATATCAAATACCTCCTGTCGCACGGGATACCGATCTGGAGCTTGATCATACTTCCCTTCTCTTCACGTTTCAAACCGATTCTATACGTTGTTCTATCACAAAGGTAACGAGCAACCATCATCACAAAATGTTTGGCTCACCACACTCTACCTCGCGCCACCACCGACGCCGCCAGCAGAACTACTCCTGGGACCACGGCTATCTCTACCAATCCGAGCTCACACCCGTCCCCTCCTACGAAGACCTCTCTATACCCACTGCCATCCACACCCCAATCGACCTCCCCTCTCGCGTCAGCGCTCTGAACCGCCGCGCAGCTATCGTCTCGGCCAACCTCACTCATCTCACCGCCGTCGTCAAGCCGCTTGAAACGATCAAGCCCGATGACCTGAGCGAAGCCCACCTCAGCGACATGTGGGAGGAGGGTGTCTGCCTGGGAAAGGCAATGGAGGAGTTCAAAGAGCAGATGGAGGAAGTGAGCTTGATACTGGAGGAGCTGCTCATCGGTCGCAAGAAGGGAATGAAGATCTTGGGTGGAGTTGGCTTGGGCTTGGGCTTGGAGAGTAGTAGGAGTCTGTCTAGGGGCTTTAGTAGGAGGAGGGGCTTGGGCTTCTGAGTATGGGTAACGGAGAAATGGGATGATGTAACAGGTTTGGGTACCAGTGGCATGGCGAATCGGAGTGAAATTGTCGGAGCTTGCTGTTGTTCGCGAGTCACACTGTCGTTATTGAAGGCTTCATGTATAATGATTCAATGTATTGTTATATCAGTTTATTCTAAGCACTCCATATCTACGCAGAGATCGGCTGCGCCGGTACACTTTCCAGAGTAGGCACAACGGGCTTCATCAAGCCTTGATCGTCAAAGTACAGTCTATCGATGGTGACCTCCCTGTTCGTCCCGTTGCCGTTCGGGATGGCAAATCGGTGATAGCAGATGTACCAATCGTCGGTGTTCGGGACGTTGATGATAGAACTGTGCCCAGTAGCGAGGATGCCCTTTGAGGCATCTTTTTGCAGTATAAGACCGTGGTATGTCCAGGGGCCATGAACGCTTGTAGACGTCGCGTACCCTACACGGTAGTTCTCTGAACCAGTGTCATCGATAGAGTATGTGAGGTGGAAGAGGCCCTTGCGGTAGTTCATGAAGATGCCCTCGCGGAAGTCAGGGAGACCGCCAATGGAACGCGTTGTGTCAGCCTTTAGCGAGAGCATGTCATCGCTGAGCTCAGCGTAAAGCGCGGGTGTGATGTCTGAGCCTCCGTTGCCCCAGAAGATGTAGTATTTGCCAGTAGTCGGGTCTTCAAACACGTCTGGATCAATGGCTTGGCCAGTGGTAACATTGCCTTCGTTAAGGATCATAGCTTCTGCCTGTGCTGTAAAGGGTCCTTCGGGCGCGTCTGCAACAGCCACGCCGATAGTCTTGCGGTCGTACTGCGGGTTGTTTCCGCTGAAGTAGAAGTAATACTTGCTGTCCTTCTCGATAATGGTGGGGGCCCAGGCATTTCCGTTGGCCCAAGGTACGTTACCGCTGGTACCATTGAGGGTCAAGAAAGGTTCGGCTGATCGGGTCCATGAGACTAGGTCAGGTGACTTCCAGACGTAGAAGACATTACCGCCCCAGCCAGGGAAGCCATCCGTTGTCGCGTAGATGTAGTAGTTATCACCGAATACCGCGATGTTGGGGTCTGCGTATAAACCGGGAAGGACAGGGCTGCCTGCTATCTTAGCAGCGACAGAGCGTTTTGACTCCGCAGTCAAACCAGCAAGTTCTTTTGCCGTTACTGGAACCACAGTGCCGTGACGTGGGCTAGTCGGCAATTTGTATGAACTGGAAACCTTCCAGTCAGGGTTGGAGATGTCTGCCGTCTCTAGCGGAATGTATCCACGTCCACCGTACTCATCCACAAAGAGGTAGTACTTCTCGCCATTGACATCGCCTGGATTGGATTTGAACACTGTCGGTCCCTCGACACTGCTAGTGCCGGCGTTGCGACCAATACATGTGGCAACTTGAGTCCAGGATTGGACAGGAGCAAGGAGTGAGTCAGAACGCTCTTGAATAATGTCGGAGCAGTTTGTGCCTGTGCCGCCTTCGTCCTTTGTGAACCGGTAGAATGTATCCGCCTCTTTGATGACCGTAGTATCGATCCGTGACATGCCTGCATCCTGCCAGATCTCGGGCTCGCTGAACGTGACGAAGTCCCGAGTAGTCACGTAGAGCATGCGGTGGTATGTTGCTCCTGTGCGGTCCGTATCGCTCTCAGCGTAGAGAGAGGACGCCCAAAAGACTACGTACGATCCAAGATCCGTATCGTAATATGCCTCTGGCGCCCATGTGTTTCCAGCAGTGGAGGGGGAGACCTTGACGTGCCGTTGCTGAGACCATGTCTTGAGGTCGCTTGACTCCCAGATCTCCAGATACAAGCTACCTCTGCGAACTGCATCGCCCCAGGAAGTACCGGATCCAATTGACAAGTCGGTAGCCAGCAGGAAGAATCTATCGCCCTCTGGCGAGCGTATGACGAATGGGTCACGTAACCCCTTCGTGCCTTCAGTGGAGGCGAGGACAGGCTCGCCGTTGTTGAGTTCTTTCCAAGCTAAAGCGTTGTTGCCTTCGCTGGCTGCAAGATAGATCTTCTCGCCCGCCAACGAGTTGCCCGTAAAATACGCAAAGGCATAACCTTCAAAAGCATCAAGTTTGACCGCCTGACGTACGTTGGCACTGAAGGTGCGATTCGAGGTCGTGCCATCGCTGTCGATAATCGCTGTAAGATCAACTACAGTGTCGGCACTTTGTCGCTGAACCACGCCGTCTGCTGATATTACGGAAGGTTTGTTGCTCATCCATGTGACGTTCTGGTTCTCGGAGACGCTTGGTAGATGAAGATTCCCACGAACATCGTCAATGTTCGTGATCGCGAGGCTTTCAAGCGCTGATTGGGCCTGCGCTTTGGAGGTGGCTTGGGCAGAGACTGTCGACCACAGACTCCACACATAGAGTGGAAGGCGGTATGACCGCATGGTGGAAGAAGAGGGAGTAACGAAAGAGATACAGATGACCTACGGATTCTATGGGAATACATACCTTGAACATATACTGCGACTGTAAGCCGGGAGCTATACTTAACTCATACTTTGGAACCATAACCACCCATCGGAAGCGATACTTCATCAACTCATTTCCTAGACTCTTGGTATCCTAGTCTTGAGTACGAGAAACTCCACGAATACGCGTTGACGGACAGAACCTTCTTTCAGCGACTTCCAGGGACCCTAGTCGTGTCAAACAGCTAAACCTTGACGATCCCCGGACTATCCTCCACATCTGCTTGAGTCGTGGAGCATGAAAAGTGTGGACTATCAGGCACATGAGAAAGTAGAAGACGATGACGCCCCTCCCGAGGTCCTATGCGGAAATAGTTTGCGGGGTATGACGCTAACGACGCACAAGCCACCGGCATCGGTCTGCTTTGATGGCAACTCGGGGTGAAGACTACCGGACTCATAAACGACTGCAAGACCACTGTTCCTCATCTGTGTAGGGAGCTTGCTCGCTGAATCTTAGAGTCTCCGTACGCGTGCTGGTACTGCTGTCTCGATGTCCATTGCTGAAAGCGCCATGAATGGAGTTTGTTTTTTGGCGCCACTCCCGCAGCGGACTTTTGAACGGATACGACATTAGGAGCGGAGGTATACGGGCTAGTTCGTATGGCGGTCGCACTGTTTTTTGTCGCTCGTGGATCGGATAAAGAGTAGGTCGAACCGGCACACGCAAACAACCCCATTAGCCATGAGCAGGAAGCATGACGACAGGAGTGCAAGACGCGCTGTCGACACAGCAGGAAGATATTGTACGAAGGCAAATTTTTTGGCAGGAAATGAGCTATCCGTCAGTCCCGGAGCGCGATGTTCGTCGCCCTCAACATCAACACGTGGGATACGGAAGGAGGCACGCTTGTGGTGTTCGCCGACCGCCATGCCGCCCACCAAGTCCCCAAGAACCTTGGCAAAAGAGCGTCGCACATTCGAAGAGACATACCAAGGCTGGGCCTGCCCAGGATAGTACATGGAGGTGCACAACGTGATTGCGGCAATTGATGTAAGTGGTTGAGATTCAGAACGGCCTTCTTGACATCAAATCTCAGAACATGAGCGGTAGTATTTCGCAACATTTGCAATGTGTATGTTGAAGGTATCGCAATGTTGTAAAATGGGTTGAGACATGACAGAAACTCAGCGAAGAGCAGTCGAAAACACCTGGACACTCTGCAAGATGTAGCAGAACTTGGTCAATCTTTAGATATCGTTCAATCGGGATCTGTTCGGACCCAAGTCACCGGAGTCCAAGATTTGGCGAACAGGCATATGCAGACACTCAGGGCCTAATGTGAGTACCCACAGGGTCGTGGGATGTATGAGCCGTCAACCTAGCAGTATATAAACTGCATCAGCTTGGGCTGCTGTACTGTAGGTCAGGTTTTGAACTCATCCTCACCATTTTTTCCCATCACCCTGTTCCAGTGCCATCATCTGCCTGCTGCTCACCATGCGCACCTCCACAATCTTGACTGCCCTCTCTTTGGGACAAGTCACACTCGCAGCAATCGAACCGAAGAACTTCATATTCATCGTTCCCGATGGCATGGGTCCTGTCTCCCAGACACTGCTTCGTACATACCTGTC